ATTATTGGCCAAAGAATTACCCCAGAGCAATCGAAGTGGCCCTGTTGCCTGAACACAGAGAGGCAATTACAGATTTTGAGGACATGCTACAGAAGCTTTAATTAAAGGTATTACTTCTACATCGCTGAACACTGGAAATTCTTCCTTGCAGCCGCGAGAAGTGGCTTTTGTCTTTCGGTCGCCTGCAGTGTGTCAGCGTACGACGTGGCTGGCTGCGGCATCTCTTCTGTAGAAACGCATATAGTGTTTCACCCCACCCCCTTCTCCCAACTGCCAGTCGTAATGTTGACATGTTGAGAGGTGGATTTCCATCGCTAGACCTTCTGGCTTCCCCTGGCATCGTATGGGTCTCGGTCAGCGAGGACAATACAATCTCTGCCTCGATTTCAAGGCGAAGGTTATGAAGTACTATCTGTGTGCAGAGCAGGAAGGAGTAACTGTATCAAGAGTGATCAATCTGTTGTCCTGAAAATGGATGGTATCGTAAACTGTAAACATTGAATGAATTTTGGCTGTCCGTGTACTTGATGGTACAACCGACCGGACCGACGAGAGCAGCCCTTCGGCACAGTTGTGCCAGCAGCGCGCGCAGCCCCTTCCCAGCGCAGCGGGCGGTAGCGGTGCCGCCGGCTCTGCTTTGGGAGCTGCTTGGCGAGTCAACGCTCTTTTCAGGCGGAGCGTGCTCTGTGCAACCCACCCTTCCCGATGACACTACCTACGCAGATAGGGCAAACTGTTGTCCACTTTGAGCTCCTGCTGGAGGCCGCGGCTGCTGACTCCTCTGGGAAGGCACCTTTGGACTCCTGGCGTCAAGACCTCGTTGAAGATGAGGAGCACTGGGCCTCAGCTTACGGTGTGATTTATTCTAACGAGGTAATGGTGAAAAAACCCAGCGTTTTTTGCCGATTCCCTGTATGTGCAAGTACCATAAGCACGTCTTCCATACAGCCTCGACTCCCTGAAGTTTTGTACTTCAAGAGTCGACATGAGAGCCCGGTCCGTAACACAAGCTTTACTAGAAATCATAGAATGGTTTGGGTTGGAAGGGACCTTAAAGATCATCTAGTTCCAACCCCCCTGCCATGGGCAGGGACACCTTCCTAAATCTAAAATACTATTGCTCTTTACTTGATAATACAAGAAACAGGCAATTTAGGAGTAAACAACTCCTTACCTTTGTTTCCTGGGTGTTTTGCAAATCGTCTACGTTGCTGTCCTGCTCGGCGGGTTGCTCAGGTCCTCCTGCAACCCATAGCTTGTCCTCAACACAGTGAGGTTCCTCCAGCTCTCTGTCTCCTTTTCCAGTGGTGGCTGGTTCCTCAGTCAGAGCGCTCCCCCCAGCTGCAAAATGCTCTTTTTCCACCACCCCTTTCTCCTCAGATTTCTCACGTTTCTTCTGAGTTTTGTCTCTCTTGATGTTCTTCCCTTTTCGATGTCTGAATTTTTTTATCGGAAATCTACATTTGCTCCAAATTCTGGTGCCCTGTCAGAGGTACGTGGACCAACACCCACCCTTGGGCATGAGCTAACCTCCTTCCCTCACCATGTGTAGGCAGAGGGAGGGTCGCTAAGATGAGGAAGACCTGAGATCCCCCATCTGTGGGATGCAGTCTGGAGGCCCTTTTGGCAGGCAGGAATACACTCTGGAGCATTCTGTAGTGCAGCCAGTTACCGTAATAATAGTTTCATTATTAACCAGAGTTCATAAACTCTCCGTAAACCTATTCCTCGGCTCATGTTTCTTCGGTGCAGGAGCCAAGCGTTCGCTGGACAGATGGAGACCCTGAAGCTTTTAACAGGTTCTTTCGTTTTCATTTGCTTATTGTCCGGTCTCTTCCAGTCTCGGAATAACACCCTGCAAGTGCCGTGCCAAGCACCAGCCACGCCAGCGGGTGCACGGTGAAGCAACCAACATCTCAGGCTTAGCTTCACTAGACAGGGAGAGGGGATTTGAAGGTCCTGTACTTCAGGGAGCTACGTGTTCCCCCTCGTTATTAACTATATATTTACCTCTTGGCTGCGAGGGAACGCAGAGTGCAGTGAACAACAGCGTGGCCCAGCACCGGTTGCTGCATGGGAGATGGAAGACGGGGCTGAGCACCGAACGCGTAGCCTGGAGCCAACGTATGGTGGGATGGCAAGGGCTTCAGCCAAAGCGGCAGCTTGTCCCGCTCCTCCCTTCCGGGGGTGGGGACCCACCACCTCCCTTCTGGGGGTGGGGGTGCGCGGAGTCACCTCAGCGTGTCAGGAACCTGTGCTGCAAGCTCACGGTAACGGGGTGAATTGTGTCGGGGGTAGGATCCTGCCTAACTTAACTCTTCGTGCTATTTTCATCAAGCCGTTTCGCAGATTCCGATGCAATGTCAGGAATTGCCACCGGTTTTCAAAATTTAGCACAAATGCATGTTATCTAGTTAAACGCAGGGGAGCTTCTGCTCAAGTTAACCTCCAGGGAAGGCCAGTAGTGATGGGTGTGAGGGCCGGGGAAGGCTTCAAGTCCCCCGGCCATGGCGGTGCCCGGGCAGCAGAGCGTTTCCTAAACACCGCATTGCTTCACACGGTGGGGAGCGGCACGGATCTTGGAAACTGCCTTTGGTAGACTGACGGAGCGCAGTGGTATTCTAGACCCCATCCAGATGTCTACAGCAAGGTTGAAAACAGCGAAGTCTCATGATACAGCTGGGTCTAGATGTGCAGGAAGATAAAGTGACTTTCCCAGGGCTTCACACAAGGCAGCTCAGAAGGACAGACGAGCAGGCTCACGGCTTTTTTAGCTAACCGTATTCTCCAGGCTCTTTTTTCCTATCATTTTCCGGTGGGATACCATGCCAACATCCTTAACTTCTGCTTGTTTGTTGCTCTCGTGCCAGCTGAAGCTCACAGTCCGGTTCCTAAAAGAACGTCACTGTCTGCTGCTGACATCCCTGGTACAATACCAGCTTTGTTCACAGGGAGGAAAGCCTTTACCCCTGGCTACAAGGGGACTTTATTTTTAGGTTCTGTTTTCACATACTTTATTTTTAGGTTATGTTCCGCAATCCGCAGAGTGATCTGTGTGTGTGGCATTTGTTTCTTCTCTAAACTTGTTTTTATTCTAATGCTGGAGTGGCGCAGCCGGGCAGTGCCGAGTGCCGGTTTGGCTGGAGTCACGTGCCACTGACGTCCAGGGGCTAGATAATTCCACTGTTGTACTCCCGGCCTAAGCACTAGGTCTGTGCTCGCAGCCAAGACTGGGACTGGGTGATTTAAAAAGATACTGGTTCTGGATACTTTTTCAGATAGCATTTAGGTCACATTACCATCATCTTTTACTACTGCTGCCAGGTTTCACCAGGCAGCCAAAACCGGAGCACACATGTAAGTTAATTTGCACTTGCAGCACGTGGGACAAGATCTAATTGCTGTTCCTGTAACTGCAAGTTACCCCTATGAACCTCACAGGAGACACTTCTTAAATGAACTGTTTCCACTGGGGACCTAACAAAGGCTGTATCTCTGGGCTTGACCAGGAGTGACCGGTGTCATGAAAACAGCCCCGAGGTTTGAGGTTCATTTGGCCCTTTATTGCTTTTTATAAATAGCACCTTGTCCACACAGTAAAATGTCCTGGGCTGATCCAGAACCTTAAATACCACTTGGAGCAACCAGGGTAAGTTGCCATTAGGGAATTCTTGGGACCCTTCTGCAGGATGCAGAGGATGCTGAAGGGCTGCGTGAGGTGCCGTAGCAGGCGTGGAGCAGGACGGGAAGCAGCTCCTCACTTCTGTCCTCCTGCTGGCAAAGGAGCAAGGAGAGCAGGGATGTTTCTCATCCACTCCGATGCAGCCTCAGGCGTACCCAATACCCCGCTCTTCTTGTGGAAGATGCTTTGTTGGATTTTAGCCTGTTGAGGTAAAGATGCAGAGTGAGGGGTGAGGGCAGGGGAGCTGACTGTTCCCCAATGCTGCCCCTGCTGACTTGTTCAGCTTCTGAGTGGAAATCTAGTGAAGAGCCCTTCTCTCTCTGCAAGGGCAGGAGCACTAAAAACACGGTGGGGGCAGCATCCGTAGGATTCAGCGGCCTCGTTTCACCCTTTCTCCTCTGAGTTCACAGCGTCGTCTGCAGCACTGCTCACTATGCCTTGCTTCCACACGCTTGTGATGAAAGGTGGCTTCAGAAGGAGCAACTTGCTGGTTTGGTTTTGTCTTCTGAAGGGCTGTCGGGTCAAAATGCCACTCACCTCAGGACAGAGGCAAAGCGAAACACAAGCGTGGCTGCTGTAGACAAGCTTGAACGTAGGCTGGCGTAGCCGCCACGCACGGATAAGTTCCCAAGTAGGAAAGGCTCTCCGTGGAAAGGCATGCACAGCTCCTCCAAGTTCTTCATGGCCAATTCCACTACTGGGGTTTTTTTCCTTGTTTTTTTTTTGTTTTAATCTCCCAAATAACATTTAAAACTTGGGGCTTGGTTGAGGTAAGAGAAAGATGATCGTCAACTTCCTTTGAGTTGTTTGTTGTTCCACAGTTTTACAGTGTATATGAAACTGCTTAAAAGCTCTTCTCCAGATGAGGAATGTAGGTTGTTTCTAATTATGTGACATGTAATCAGGCGTGACAATGCCTCCTTACCCCTTGGATGACAGCAAGCTTTATTTCCTTAAACACCTGAAAGGTGGGAAACATTCAGGTGTTAAATAGCCTGAAGCCTGCGCAAGTTCTTCATTTCAGTAGCCCTCTGACTCGACTTTTCTGTGCTAATTTCTATTATGGGAGCAACTTAGTCAAATAACTGGGGTGTGAAAAATGGCCACGCTCTGGGCTTCACGTTTTATGTTTAACTCAGAGTGTTTCCTCTTATTCTCTGTCAGTCATGACAACTGTTAATGCAAGAAAGTGAGAGGCCCTTCTTAGCGTCTCAGCACAGAGGATGGTTTAATACCGAGAGCTTTGTTCTCCAAGTTCAATGCCTCTTGACTTCTTTGGCCTGGAAAAACATTGATTTTTCTCTCGCTTTCTTTACAGGCTCAGCTTTCTTTCCTGGTCGCTGCGCCGAGGTCTTCGCCAGAGGTCAAAGCATTGGGAAACTCGGAGTCCTGCACCCCGATGTTATCACCAAGTTTGAGCTCACCATGCCGTGCTCTGCCCTGGAGATCAATATTGAGCCCTTCATGTGAGGACGGGACTGCAGCCCCCCGCTGGCACACGCGGTACCCTCTGCTCCTTTGTCTTTCTCTGCGGGGAAAGTCCACTTACGCTTTTATGTTCCAATAAACCCAAAACCCAGAGCCTGGCTCCCCGGGTGAATGTGTTCCTTGCAGTGCACTTTGGCTAGCTGCTGCAGGGTAAGAACGTGGCATCTCGGACTGGACCGTGCCCTCAGTATTTTCAAAAGACAGGGGAGGGAGGGAGCAAGAAACAAGCTGGGTAAAAGCCCAGCGTTCTACAGGAGAAATGGAATGGCAGAGCACATGGTTAGTTTTCAAAATCAGAAATGTTCCACAGACACAGCTTCATACTGTAACTGATTATGGCTGCGTAACAGGAATCTCATTCTTTTCTTATTGCATGAAATAAGATAATTGATTAGAGCAAATGTTGAGCGAATGTGAGCAGAACTAAGGAGTTGAGCTTTTATTCTGTACGGTTGTCATGTGCTCATCAGTGGCTGGGGGAGGAAAATAAACTTGTTTCATGAAAACCAGAGCTATTTTGTAAGCAAGATGTGTGTAATATCTGCTTCCCTGCTCCAGACATAACTGTTGATCCTTTATCATTCTAAATTCAGAGAGGGGAGGGGGTGGAATTAAATTTTTTCATGGTTGATGTAAGCCTAGCGGTTTTTGAAGCTCCAAGCCAAATTGGGGAAACGCATTTAAGAGCATATGCCAGTGGTCTTTTGCATGAAGAGCTGAGAAATATCAAAGCCTTGGTCCGACCGGGGCTGGCGCGTTTGCCTGCAGGAGGGAGCGTGGTCCCGCCGCACTCGCGTCGCCCCACCGGTGCCTCTCTGGACCCCAGCTGCTCCGCAGGGACCGCGCGGTGGTTCCTGCTTTCCTTGCAGTCTTGTGGCTGGCAATCCATGGAGACCTCTCGAGGGTCAGGCAGGGTTTTCCTCCAGGGACGCTGCAGCCGGGCGCACCGTGCCTCCTCTCTCAGGGAAACCGAGACCCTCCATCCAGCGCGGCGCTGCCCGATACATCCCTCCGAGTGTAGCGTCACCGAGCGGGCGGCCAGCTCCGTCCTCGGAAGCAGGCTCTTGGCTGGCTTGTTAACGAAGCAGCCGGTCCCTCGTTTGCAGTGTTACAGCCATCGCTGATGTCGCAGGCTGACTTCTTCCGTCAGGCCAATGCACTGTGGCTGGTTTGTGTTGTGAGAGCCAGATAGCCCCTGAGCCCCGGAGGGGACAGTCCGAGGGCGGGCGTCTGGGTGATGCTGGAGAAGGGTGTCGGTAGCTGTCAGAGATGTGCGATGGTGAGGACAAGGTCAGCTCACGAGCTGCGTGTCTGCGCAGCCTCCTGTCGCCGGACCCGCGGCGGCGTTTCGGTGGTAGCCCTGTCGGTAATCTAACAGGTGGGAGGGCAACAGGCAAGGCTTTTTGGTGCAAGTGTTAATCCGGTATGAAAAATGCACTGCAGCTCCCCATCTGGAAACCCTACGCTTGCCCTCCGATGGAAGTGTAGATTTTAATTATCTCTGCGTGACGGACGTGAAATGAGGATATGGCTGGGGCCGGCCGGTGCACGGCGGGCTCCCGGGCCCCCCG